TAGAGCGGGAATGGGCATGGGGAGGGTGCTGAGGGCACAGGAGCAACGTCTTCCAGGTGGGAATGAGGATAGAGCGGGAATGGGCATGGGGAGGGTGCTGAGGGCACAGGAGCAACGTCTTCCAGGTGGGAATGAGGATAGAGCAGGAATGGGCACGGGGAGGGTGCTGAGGGCACAGGAGCAGCGTCTTCCAGGTGGGCATGGGGGGGGGATGGCAGGATCCCATGGGAACAGGGATGGGGAGGGTGCTGAGGGCATGAGAGCGATGTCTTCTAGGTGGGAATGGGGGATGGAGCAGGAATGGGCACGGGAATGGGTGTGGGAATGGGTGTGGGGAGGGTGCTGAGGGCACAGGGAGGGTGCTGAGGGCACAGGAACAACATCTTCCAGGTGGGGATGGGGGGGTGGAGTGGGAATGGGCACGGGAATAGGTATGGGAATGGGCATGGGGAGGGTGCTGAGGGCACGAGAGTGATGTCTTCCAGGTGAGGATGGGGGGTGGAGTGGGAATGGGTGTGGGAATGGGCACGGGGAGGGTGCTGAGGGCATGAGAGTGATGTCTTCCAGGTGGGAATGGGGGGATAGAGCGGGAATGGGCACGGGAATGGGTGTGCGAATGGGCACGGGGAGGGTGCGGAGGGCACAGGAGCAGCGTCTTCCAGGTGGGAATGGGGGGATAGAGCGGGAATGGGCATGGGAATGAGTGTGGGAATGGGCATGGGGAGGGTGCTGAGGGCACAGGAGCAACGTCTTCCAGGTGGGGATGGAGGGATAGAGTGGGAATGGATGTAGGAATGGGCACAGGAATGGGCACGGGGAGGGTGCTGAGGGCACAGGAGCAGCATCTTCCAGGTGGGGATGGAGGATGGAGTGGGAATGGGCACGGGAATGGGCGTGGGGAGGGTGCTGAGGGCACAGGAGCAACGTCTTCCAGGTGGGAATGGGGCACGGAGTGGGAATGGGCATGGGAATGGGCACGGGAATGGGCATGGGGAGGGTGCTGAGGGCATGAGAGTAACGTCTTCCAGGTGGGAATGGGGGGATAGAGCAGGAATGGGCACGGGAATGGGTGTGGGGAGGGTGCTGAGGGCACGAGAGTGATGTCTTCCAGGTGGGGATGGGGCACGGAGCGGGAATGGGTGTGAGAATGGGCACGGGAATGGGCATGGGGAGGGTGCTGAGGGCACGAGAGCAACGTCTTCCAGGTGGGGATGGGGGATGGAGTGGGANGCGGCCGCCCCACGAGCGCGACTCGTCGGACGAGGAGCAGGCGCTGGAGGACTGGGTGGCCTCGGAGACGTGGGCGCTGCCGCGGCCGCGCTGGCGGGCGGTCCCGGCCCTGCGCCAGCGCCAGCTCGGCTCCTGCGCCCGCTTCGTGGCCGAGGCGTGCGGGGCCCGGCTGTTCGTGCAGCGCTTCCGCCTCCAGCACGGCCTGGAGGGGCACACGGGCTGCGTCAACACCCTGCACTTCAACCAGCGCGGCACCCGCCTGGCCAGCGGCTCCGACGACCTCAAGGTGCTCGTCTGGGACTGGCTCCGGCGCAGGCCCGTCCTGCAGTTCGACAGCGGCCACAAGAGCAACGTCTTCCAGGTGGGCATGGGGGGTGGAGCGGGGAATGGGCACGGGAATGGGCACAGGAATGGGCACGGGGAGGGTGCTGAGGGCACGAGAGTGATGTCTTCCAGGTGGGAATGGGGGATGGAGCGGGAATGGGCACGGGAATGGGTGTGGGAATGGGTGTGGGGAGGGTGCTGAGGGCACAGGAGCAACGTCTTCCAGGTGAGAATGGGGGATGGAGCGGGAATGGGCGTGGGAATGGGCACGGGGAGGGTGCTGAGGGCACAGGAGCAACGTCTTCCAGGTGGGATGGAGGGACAGAGTGGGAATGGATGTAGGAATGGGCACAGGAATGGGCACGGGGAGGGTGCTGAGGGCATGGGAGTGATGTCTTCCAGGTGGGAATGGGGGATAGAGTGGGAATGGATGTAGGAATGGGCACGGGAATGGGCATGGGGAGGTGCTGAGGGCACAGGAGCAGCGTCTTCCAGGTGGGCATGGGGGATGGAGTGGGAATGGGCACGGGAATGGGCATGGGAATGGGCATGGGGAGGGTGCTGAGGGCACAGGAGCAACGTCTTCCAGGTGGGAATGGGGGGGGATGGCAGGATCCCATGGGAACAGGGATGGGGAGGGTGCTGAGGGCATGAGAGCAACGTCTTCCAGGTGGGAATGTGAGGATCATACAAGAATGGGCATGGGGAGGGTGCTGAGGGCACAAGAGCAGCATCTTCCAGGTGGGAATGATAGGATCCTACAGGATTGGGCATGGGGAGGGTGCTGAGGGCACAGGAGCAACGTCTTCCAGGTGGGAATGAGAGGATCATACAAAAATGGGCATGGGGAGGGTGTTGAGGGCACAAGAGCAGCATCTTCCAGGTGGGAATGGGGGGATGGAGTGGGAATGGGCACGGGAATGGGCACGGGGAGGGTGCTGAGGGCACAGGAGCAACGTCTTCCAGGTGGGAATGAGGATAGAGTGGGAATGGATGTAGGAATGGGCACAGGAATGGGCATGGGGAGGGTGCTGAGGGCACAGGAGCAGCGTCTTCCAGGTGGGAATGGGGGGATGGAGCAGGAATGAGCATGGGAATGGGCACGGGAATGGGCGTGGGAATGGGCATGGGGAGGGTGCTGAGGGCACGAGAGCAGCGTCTTCCAGGTGGGAATGGGAGGATCCCATGGAATGGGCACGGAGAGGGTATTAAGGGGCATGAGAGTGATGTCTTCTAGGTGGGAATGGGGGGATAAAGTGGGAATGGGCGTGGGGAGGGTGCTGAGGGCACAGAAGCAGCATCTTCCAGGTGGGAATGAGGATAGAGCAGGAATGGGCACGGGAATGGGCACGGGGAGGGTGCTGAGGGCATGAGAATGATGTCTTCCAGGTGGGAATGGGGGGATGGAGCAGGAATGGGCACAGGAATGGGTGTGGGAATGGGCACGGGGAGGGTGCTGAGGGCACAGGAGCAGCATCTTCCAGGTGGGGATGGAGGGACAGAGTGGGAATGGATGTAAGAATGGGCACAGGAATGGGCACGGGGAGGGTGCTGAGGGCATGGGAGTGATGTCTTCCAGGTGGGCATGGGGGGGGGGATGGCAGGATCCCATGGGAACAGGGATGGGGAGGGTGCTGAGGGCATGAGAGTGATGTCTTCCAGGTGGGAATGGGGGGATAGAGTGGGAATGGGCACGGGAATGGGTGTGGGGAGGGTGTTGAGGGCATGAGAATGATGTCTTCCAGGTGGGAATGGGGGATAGAGTGGGAATGGGCACAGGAACAGGGATGAGGAGGGTGCTGAGGGCACAGGAGCAGCATCTTCCAGGTGGGAATGAGGATAGAGCAGGAATGGGCACGGGAACAGGGACGGGGAGGGTGCTGAGGGCACAGGAGCAGCGTCTTCCAGGTGGGATTTGTGGGAATTGCAGGATCCCATGGGAACAGGGGTGGGGAGGGTGCTGAGGGCACGAGAGCAACGTCTTCCAGGTGGGAATGGGGGATGGAG